GTACTAGTAGTTCTAAAAGAAGTACTAGCGCTTCCATCAAAAAAGGCATCCTCAACTGTGCAAAATTTTCCCAGTCCTTCCCTCTCCTTCCAAATGGTGAAGCCATTACTATCCCTGGAAAACTGTGTCTTCTTTGTCCATTCCAGAGCCTTGTTTGTGATTTTTCTTTTCTACTACTAGCAGCTGTACATTGGCAACAGCAAGTAGGCAGTGGTGCCAACAAAACCACCCCTAGCACTACTGCTGTACTACCCGCCAAATATCAGTACAAAATCAGTACAAAAGGCCTCTTGGAAAACTTACAAGTACCAAAGATAGAAAGAAGACAATAATGCTGATGTTTTAATTGCTACTAAACACCAGTCTGTTGCGATTGCTATCATCCTCATTCAGAATTTGTGGCAGGACAAAGACAATGGCAAGAGTCAGGGCCGATGTATTTTGCAGGTGATTTGCTGCATCTTCCCCTCCTATGCAGTCTCCATTAACTTCCATTTTCCTGCACCAATCAGTCAGCCTATTCTTGTTTTGTACTTTCAATATTGCAAGAATTGTAACAAGCATCATTGAAAGGAGAACAATAGTAACCACTTTCTGGAAACTACTATTACTAGGCTTTGAAACATAAAACGTCAGGACAAATTGTGGACAGTTRTGCTTTTTGTTTCATATTTCTTCTTGTAGCAAACCTCAGGATAATGAGAAAGCAATTCCTAGACCTTCTTTGTCTTCTCAGCAGTGGCATCTACTAGGATTTGTTTGGTAGGGCTGCTGGCCTTCATTCTTCTCTTTGTCCTTGTAGTTAGTAAAAATACAGCAGTGTCTGCTTTCTTCTTTGTGGTGGATGATCAAATTGCAACGCAACTTAGATGTCCTTCTTTCTATGTTACAAAGTAGTATTGAGGTCAAATCTACTGTTGAAGAAGCAATTGCCATGTTGACTTGTTGAAAAGGCAARGCATAAACCAGAAATTCAATTTCTAATGGAATGATCACTGTGGTGGTTGTCTGGTGTGCTCCCCAGCTAGTTATAGGCTTTGGATTGCTGTTGCCATCAACTTCTTGTCTGTTGTTCTACTACTACTAGTAGCTACTACTAGTAGTATTTGCAATATTGTGGTGTGTATCAAATCTTCTTCTCTCCATTGCTGCTTTTGCTAAAGAGGAGGCAGGCTTCTACACTACAGTTAAACCATGTTATTCGGTTCAAACAGGTGATGTGCTACAGTACTATGTTACCTGAAGTCAACCCCTGAGTTATAAACCAAAAACTGTAACATATGTACTATGCATATGCACTATGCATATGCACTATGTCTATCTGCTGCTGTGCTGTTTAACGTTCAACATTCGCTCAAATTCCGTACACGTAACGACCCCGGTACCGTACTACTGACGGATCCCGTGTATGTAAGTGAACCSCTAGCCACGAGTACGACAACGTCCGTACCGGACGGTATCGACGACAGTACGTACGAGTACCTTGAACGGTACGTACGGTAGATAGGTAGCTTCTACTACGCTACGTACGTCCTACGTCACGGTAGATTGCGTAATCGTATTCAAAACCTCGGAATTGGCATGCTCGTTACCTTACCAAAAATTCAATACGAGAATGCCATAATAATTCTGTCGAACTACGACCTCGCATGGCAACATCACGGTATGCAAATTATATACCGTATTTTACTGTATCTGTACGTACCGCCGAGCCACTCCTCCAGTCCCAGTCCACCCATCAGTGTGATTGCCAGCGGTACTCTAGTACGCGTAGGAGTATTTTTCGTTATGTGCGCCGAAACAGAAGCCAATCCGAATATGATTGCATAGCCTATCGCACGTCTGATAGTCACTTCGTATTACGTATTTCGATGCAGTATTGCAACGAGGTCGTATTCGCCACCTCCTGTTCCATTGCACAAATGGTATGGTACAGTACGGTACCGTATCGTACGATACCAGTGTCCCTCACCGCAAACCAAACACTCCCTGCACCCCACTGAAAAGCACCGTCCCCATTGTGGCGATTCTTCCGATCGGTTCCGTTTCGGCACATTGCGATTCCCCTCCCACGTCCCACAACATCGCACTCCTCCTAACGAGTGAGCAACGAGCAGAC